AGTAAAATTGACTTTGCTGTACATTTCATATGCAGGCCCTGAAAACAATGCTGAGAATATGCAATTCTATTCTGAGAGTAAAATTGACTTTGCTGTACATTTCATATGCAGGCACTGAAAACAATGCTGGGAATATGAAATTCTTGTCGGAGAGTAAAATTGACTTTAATGTGCTTTTCTTATGCACGCCCAGAAGATAATGCTGAGAATAATAAAATTCAATTCCTGGGAGTAAAATTTGTTTGAGAAAAAATTGTGACTTTTGTTGTTGCATTTTTTTGCTGCATACTTAAAAAAACAAGTTACATTACGAAATAATAGAAATACAAGTTAATAATTTAAAAATGAAATTATTAAAAATTATTTAATCCTTACAACTACAACAGTAAAGTGAATTTAAGCTTAGTTGTTTTTGTGCTATTTTACATGAAAAAAAAATTCCTTAAATATGAAGGACTCGAGTGCATCTCTCATCTCACGAGAGGGAGAAAGTAAATGTTATTGCAAATCTCTTACCGTGTGCCGAAAGAGAGAAAAGCCGCCATAAGCAGTACAAGGTTATTGTTTGTAAATAGAAACCATATGTTGCTTATCATAATTATGATAAGGGGCCTAACAAACGTTGTACGTATGTTATCCATTTTGGCGCTTAAAATATGTCGTCCTTGCTTATTTAACGAAGCCCTACACTTCGAATATGCATTCATTAACTGTATCAATTTATTTTAAAGTGTCATTGCAAGCGCCGATTATTATGTTATTTAGTAGACCTACTAGCTGCTTGTACCGGAAAGTGTAATCAATTTTTATTTAGTTTTTTTTTTTTTCAAGGCTTTTGCAAGTCGCCTCTACAATAAGCATTTTCTGTCAATGTGTACTTATTTATAAATAAATTCAGATTCAACCTTGTTTAAACCATATGCGCCCGATAGAATCCCGAACCTTATCATTTATATATTCTTGGTTTATGGTCGCAGTGTTAAAAATAGATGCTATCGATTTATTGAAACTTTCAAATGTATATTCTACATAAAGTACTAATCTAATATTTCAAATTAACATTTACTAGAATTAACCAAAAACATAAGGCAGGGTAATTAGATTTATTACCAACATATCAGTTCTTTAGGTTCCACAAAACGTATGTATAAGATTATGCAAATATTAATAAGACATGGCAATACAGATCAAAAAATTGTCAAAAAAATTACGAATTTCTTTGAGCAGTACGAATATAATTCAAATTGATTAAGGAATAATATAATTTTCAATCAACTAAAAAATAAAGCCATTTTGCTAAGTTGAGATTTCAATAATATCAATATATTCTTTTATTATTATTTTATCTGTAACAATCTAATTTTTTAACATTCTAGACTTGGAAGCCAGCTTTTTTTTCTTTCTGAAGATAATAATGCTGAACTTTTTAGGTGCTCTCTACACAGCCTTGGAATAGACAACAAATGGTTGTTCATTATTGCTTATTTCTTCATCCTCGCCCAAATTTTATTTAAGCGCTGCCAATATGCTTTATAAGCTTTAACATGTGATCTCACTCAAAAACTAATAAATAAATAAATTTTTAAAAAATACTTCACCCCTAAAATGTCTCGAACGTTCGATAAAAAGAACTGTCTTAAGACACACAGACTATTTATCGAATTTTACTGAGTGTTCGATTTGAATAAATTATTGTGGCCAGTTCTCTAACTGCAATGGAAATGCATTTTTATGCATTGTCAATTCTCACGTATCGAAAACTGCCAACATTTACTTTAAAGTGGTCACATAAATTCTTAAATTAAATCGCGCCATTTTTCATCAGATTAATTAGCATCGAGGACATCCTGTTATGTTCTTTGTCATGCAAATGTTAATTGTGTTTGTAACTCGGTTTAACATATTATTTTAACTACATATTTACAATCTGATATAAAAATTTTGAATCAACTGCCGCGCAAGTTTTATTGGCGAATTAGAGATTTTGTTTTGGTCGTAGAAAATTGCATTTGTTATTCGCATCATGGAAAACATAAATATAAAATGCGAAAACACCTTCGATTGGGATGATATAAACGTTGGCAATCATTACTTAGATCATTCCGAGAATTTTTTTGGTATGTGTACGGATTGTGCAAAGATAAAAAAAAAACTTTATTAAATACGTATACAACAGGTTCAAAACATAAATTGCGGAGCAAGCAAGATGGACTTAAGTTACATAATGAAGAGTCTGGTAAGTTGTAGGCTAGAGCCTCTGAACTTATTTAGTTAGCTTTAAATACCTTTCGAACTCATAGAAAAGGTAAAGCTAAACGATTCATCTCACAAGGAACAAGATGCAAAAATATCAACCAGCGGGAACGAAGAAAATCTCGAAGTCAAGAAGGAATCCGCTGTGAATCTAGTTCAAATGTGGACGGATAAAAAAAAGATGGTAACTGCGTCGAAAGGTGCGATACCTAAAAATACACCGCGAACGCCAAAAGCGTACAAAGTGATTGATTATTACAAAAAGAAAAAGGAAGAGGCCGAACGATTGCGAGCTGAGGAAGAGCGAAGTAAACGCGTTTTTCATCCCAAGCCAATGCCAAATTTTAATTATTATCACGAGAAATTAGAAAAGCAAATGGTTGTTCACACTATAACCGTCCCTATTACCCCGGAAGTTCTTAAACATTCACGTTCAATTAAACAAAGGAGTGAAAAGAAGGTATTTATGATCGCGTATTTTTTAAAAATTAGTTTCGAAGAGGAGATGAATATATTTCAGCCAGCAGAATTAAAACAGAAAGAACAGGTCCCAAAATTTGAATCACGTCCACCCTCCGTGTTAAAAGTAAAGCCTTTTTTTCCCGAAAGAAAACATACGACGAATGAGCAGCGTCCGTTTAATCTTCCTATGGAACGGCGCTTACAGGAGCGTAAACAATATAATGAAGCTTTAAAACAAAATTTTAAAGAAAAACAAATCCAGGTAAAACGTTCATATACAAGCTCTGTATTAAGAATCACATGGACAAAAAGCAATCCATTTCTCTGTTGTTACTCTTTGTCTTCCTCTTTAACATTTTTGATAATACATTTTATTACAACTTTGAGAAAATTTGTAATGTTGGCATCTCTGGGTTAATAAGAGTATAGAAAGAGAATAGGCACAGCAATTTTTGTGATTATTTTAACGACGTCAATTTGTTGCAAACAGTTGATAGAAAAAATTTATAAATAATTTTTATATGTATAGATATATATATATATATATATACACAATTTTTTTATTTTATCGTGTGGTTGTATTATAAAAGTCTAGAAAGTCACATAAGCACATATGCTATACATATATATATATATATATATATATATATATGTATACACACATATAAAATTTGAACGTATAGTTGAAAAATAAGCAACTTTTTGCTTAACTTAAAGAAAGTGTTGCAAAAAAATGAAACAAAGGCAAAATAAAGAAAAATCCAATAAGTAAAACAAAAGAAATAAACCAGACGTCTGCAGTGCAGTCATTTCCGTTCCGCAGTAGTGAACACATATACGTGAGATTGAGTGTTGAACGTAATTAACGAACAGCAATAAAAATAAAAAAAAGTAACCTGCCTAACGCCTACTTTCCTCTTTCGCTTTGAATTTATTCATAAAGCAAACACCTGGTTAACTGCGCTGGGTACGTTTGATTGGTGTCGTAAAGAAAAGTGTGAAAGAATTTTATGAAAAATGGTTGATCGTTTGGTGAATTCGGAGGCGAATACCAGGCGTATAGCTTTGGTGGAGAGTTGTTTTGGCAGCTCAGGTGTACCACTAGCGATATCCGGTCGTGTTTTGGTTGGTGAGGGTGTTTTAACAAAAATGTGCCGTAAACGTCCGAAATCGAGACAATTTTTTTTATTTAATGACATCTTGGTTTACGGCAATATTGTTATTGGTAAAAAGAAATACAATAAACAACACATAATGCCTTTGGAAGAGGTGTCATTGGATGATATTGAGGATTGCAGCCAATATCGTAATGGTTGGCTTATACGAACAACCACTAAATCATTTGTGGTATATGCGGCAACTGCTACCGAAAAACAAGAATGGATGGCCCATATCAACAAGTGCGTAGAGGATTTATTGCGTAAATCGGGTAAAAAACCGGTTGAAAATCATGCTGCCGTTTGGGTACCCGATGCCGAGGCTACCGTATGCATGCATTGCAAAAAAACCCAATTTACAATGATAGTGCGTCGTCATCATTGCCGTAATTGTGGGGCGGTAGTGTGCGGACCATGTTCGGCTAAAAAATTTCTTTTACCACAACAAAGCTCGAAGCCAGTGCGTGTTTGTAGCACCTGCTATGAACGTCTTAGCAAAGCTCTTAAAGTGGACACGTCCAAAACATCACCCAATCATGAGAACTCCAACGTTAATGCTCTTAAGCTTAGCAACGACAGTTCAGGGGATGATGATTCTGATGATGAGGGTACAAGTGCCGGAACCGAACAACAACACGATCAACCGAAATTTTACGGTGACACCACCAACTTAAACGTTGAAGAATCTTTTAATGCCTCGACAACACACAACTCTAGTCACTTACCTACCAACTGATGATTAAAACGTTATAATGGAATGGGAATGAGGAAAGAGAGACTGCAGCAGCCAGTAGCGTACGGAGATGATTGTTATATATATTCAATAATAATAGTAATAATATCACGAAAATTCCCTTATCAGCAACGAATAACAACAACACAAACAACAGGCAATAATAAAAAAAACAAGGACATTTCATGTAACATACATTTTTATTTAACGGTAAGCTTTACGAAAGAAAAAAAATGCAAAAATTGCAAAAAATTAAATGAAGCTAAGTTGAGGAAGCGGCAAAGTGAAGAAAAGCTTGAGGAATTCTTAGGCCCTACCTATAAAGACAGCGGGCAAATGCGCTTTGTATTCTCTAAATTCAAAGAAATGAAACAATATATGCCTATCGTTTATTCATATGCCTTCATAACGTGTTCGGTCATTTATTACTCATTTAAACTTTTACTACTTATCGGCAGGTTTACATCATCCAGAAATTTGCAATTACTCTTAAAATTTTTAAAACATTTGTAATTATTGAGCACTTGTGTATGAAGAGATTTTACAATTTATACGTAATTACATGCCATACACGTATTCATCATATGCATTTCATGAGGGTCATGATCACGATTAAGATAACGATCATCTTCTATTTTTATTATTTTTTTTTTGTACGGTTAATATTGTCATTTTTCATTATGTATTTTCTCCAATTTTATTATGATTTATTGTTGAGCTCATTAAGATTTTTGCATGTATTTGTGCTTTGATTGCAATTACTTATCATATTATGTTGTTGCGCTTTTATTTATTTGTTTTTTTTTTTTTTTTTTCTCCATTTTTTGCTTTTTATCATATTTGATTAAATTTGCTTGCACTTGGTTTAATGGGAACATAACGCCAGCCAGCCAGTAAATAAAATTACTTTAGAATTCTCTTTTGTTCTATTCGCAATAACAAAGTAAGTTACTATTTGGAAAGGTTTCTAATTGTGTATTTAAACGGTCGCAAAGAGAAATGCTTGTTAGTTGCAGGCGTGAACGGTTATGTTCGCCTATCCGTCCATTTATTACAATTAAACTTGCAAGTGCAAAATTTTGCGTAAAAGAAAAGAAAATGTAATTGGTCTCTTGTCGTCGATCTGATCGATGCATCAGTCTTCCCACAACAAAAACCTTAAACATGAACGGAAATCCTTTGTGTTTTTTTTTTTTTTTCAGCGAATAAGTTAGGTTAAGTATAAAAGTCTTCGATGATCTTATCTATAAAATATGCTTTAGGTACGTTATGATGGCAACATACATACGGCACTAACTAACTTGGAAGCAAAGTTAGTTATGTAAATAAATACTTTACCTTTCATAATCTATTAAAGGATTTGCAATAGAAGTACGATTATTATTAGTATTAAATTGCATTCGACTATAATCTACTTTCACTACGCTCATGTTAAAGCATTATTATAAGGTTTCAGCTTTTAGTGCGCTTCACTTTTTATTAACAAATGTTCAGCACAATTTTTGGGAAATTTTCAATGGGTACAGTTACGTTTCGTTCTTAATCTGAAAGACAGTGTTATTGAATGTTGATGAGCAATAAAATGCGGACACGATATAATAACGGGATCGTCAAAAACTATGATTATGAAGAATGAACCAGTAATTTCGACAGTAAAACCGAATATCCGTGACAGTCTCATTGAAAGAGATCAGTTGGGTGTAGTGTATTTTAAATTACTCTAATACAACGGCATCATCATCACAATATCTAATGATATTAAACCAAGAATTGGAAATGAAAAGATTTAGCCGCGATAAGGCAGAGGCATTATAAATTAAATTTGCACATGACGTCAGGGATGTACCAAATGCCCAAACGAACTTGAGATAGATAAACATTTTATTATTATATGTCCATGTACTCTTGTGCCTGAACTATAGGGCGATGATAGTGGTGAAATACACTGACATAATTTAGATCATTCCTTATATAACGCTCTACTTCAAAACAGTGATTAAATAGAAGAGCGCTATACCGAGCTTGCATCACATAGATCTATTTCTCGAAACGATTTCCCTATAAAGGTTTCCATAAGAAATAAGCTTTAGTTATTGTATCCTAAGATTTAAGTCGATAAAAAGTAGTAGATAGTCTGGGAATTTCTTGCGATTAGGTTAAAACAACAATTTTTTTCAGCTATCTAGATAGATAATTAGGGTTAGAGGTATGTATGGTTATGTTTATTTCGTAAACAAGGTTAGGGTTAGGGTTACGGTTTCCATCGACACATAACGATTGGTAAGATTGTAGAAGAACTTAATTCATCGAGAACATTCAAAGTTCATTTCTTACTTTATTACGGAAGAAATTTTCTGAACTACCTAATAGTTTAAACCGAGTCGCTTACGGATTGTAATTTTATAAATTTTTTTTTTTTTTGAATGTCGCAAGTCTTTCCGTTAGCTCGACTATATTCGGGTATCAAAAATTTCTTGCAAAGTTATATTAAAAGCTTTTAAATATACCATCTTATCGCTGAAGCATGTGAGAGAAATGCTAACTTTATCGTACTATTTCTGACGCCTGAAAATATATTGACAGCATCACCGCCGCCTGGTTCGTTAGCAATTTCTGTGATCTTTTCGAAGAACATGACTCATATTTACTTGAATTTTGATTTTTTATTCATTCGATTTGTTAATGAATAACACAAAAGCAAGCAAATGCGATGGGGGTACGAAACGAAAAATTCGCTGTTTGTAGGTCGTATATAATTATTTCCTTGTTTTTAGTTTTTCTTCTTGCTACTTATGATAACACTTTCCACAATTCGTTCTAGTCATGGAAACTGTAAACACATTGAATATTATATGAAATATGGATATTGACCTTTAAACCTTCTTTTTTTTTTTTTTTTTAACATATATGTGGACCGACCTTCTTTATTATAAGCCTACATGCAAATAAGCAACCAATTAGTCAATATAATAAGTAAGAAAATTATGTTAAATGAAAAAGACAAATACCGGCCGACACCTTATAATATTGGATGAAAGATTTTTGCCGCTTTCGTTTAAGATCATTTATTGAATCGACGACAAAAGGCTTATTGTTATTACGGTTTTGCTGTTTATGACTAATAAGCAAAAGAAGAAAAAAAAAAGAAAACCAAAAACTTTTGCTTTCCGATTTACCTTGTACTGTAGATGTGTACTACCTTGACCGATCTGAACCATTTTTAACATCTCATGTTTCCCGTACATTCTCACACGGACGGACAAACCTACTTAGGCAAATTCGGAACTTAAATCATTTGTGTATAGGAATCTCTAAAATTTTCTTCTGCGTATTGCCAAAGGTTTCGACAAAACGAATATATCTTCAATTTTCAATGCTCGGCACAAAAAGCGATGTGTTTTCTAAACACAATGGAATCTCAGTTTAACAGACAGTTGTTGACCATAACATTTAACGTCTAATAAATATTGCTGGCATAACATACAAAACTTTCAATTTAGTCGCAACAATAATAATAATATTCTCTTATATTTAGAGAAAATGGCGCAAAATACTATTCATATGCATGAATGTGGAAAAGAAAAAAGAAATTAATGTAACTAACAGCTTGAAAATCATGCATAGCCATATGAGTTATGCATATATACATATAAATATATATATATATATATATATATAGGAGGTATAAATTTCAAGTGAAATTATGGATAAAGTAGCGGCAAATGCGAACAATAACAAGTGTATGAATGGATACGTGAACGTACTGTAACATGTTATACTTTGACAGTAAAATCGCAATCCAAGACATGTATTAAAGACACGCCATCACTATCATTATAATAGTAAACTATAATCGTGCATTTTTAGACTCACAACTGACTTATGATGGTATACAAGACTTGTCCCTCCTTCCGTAACGTAGGCGTACATCTTTCTTTTTCTCTATTACGTAAAACGCTTGCAAAGAATATGAACATTTTCTTTTTTTTGTTTTTATTATATATTACCAGAAACCCAGTTATGTTCTCCAAACATGTAGAAACGATGATTGTCACTAAGGGTTGCAAGTAGAGGATATCAAAAGAAGGAATAGTGTTCCTGTACATTTAGTTCGAAATTGGGAACATCTGGACAACAATCGTAGTAAAGGCTGCCAGAGATAGATTTTTTTAAAGGCAGGTAATATGTCATGCGATTCTATTTACAGGTTTAGGATGATAAAATTGGCTAATCCTAATAATCCGCTTAAATACCACAAGCCATTCTTGTTCGATTCGTTGGTCAAAAGCGTCGACAATCTTTGACACGTTCTTATTAACCCGAAGCATTCGAGCACTTGGCTCTCTAGGGTACCCTCAGGTAAGACTTAGACGCTGGCACTTCAATCTTTAGTGGAGATTATTCTGACGGTCGGCTTATTGACATTAGACATTGAAGTTTGTTATAGAATAACTTTTGAAAATAGCCACAATTCATTCCCTAATATATATGCCATTACACGCCTGTAAAATGCGAAGGATTTAATTTGTCATCGTCAGCATTTACGAGGTGTATGGAGTCTATATACCACTGCAATCGATTATAATTTATGCGCAAAACTAAAATTTTAGTAAAAAGAATTACATCGGCTATCAGTGGCAAAATGAACGTGCTGGGCCATGCCCGTAATAGTCAGTTAAGTGTGACAATGTAAACCTCGCTGTAAAGCTCGCTATTAACCAACTGCATGGCCAAATCAAAATATCATAATATCAAAATATTTCGGATTGTTCGTATATGGGTGTTAGATATTAACGGAAATGAAAGTCTCGATCTTACATATACATATATCTGCCTTATGTGTTATACATCGATTTTAATTTCAATATCTGCCTTGTATTAAAGTTATGATTGTGCCTTCAAAACCGTTGAGATATTGAGTCCGAAAATCAAGGAAATAAATTCGCTAGAATAAGACATATACCGCCTTAGTGTACTTGTGCATGATATATTTCAGTCGTGTCATCATTTATACCTTATTACAATAACTTACAAACAGCTTGCGGGCTACAGATGTATTGCATATCATATAACACAATAGTTACACTGAGACAAAGA